TCAGAGACATTTTTTTGTCTATAGTCATATCAAGATTTTATAACTATGACAGTGCAATGAAGCTGTTTTGTAGCCTACGAATGTATTCTAGTGCACTAAATGATAGTATGATATTCTCATGTGGAAACAAATTTTGGTTTAATGAATTGTCAACACCCAGCAATACTCAAAATCATCATTTTTGAAAATGACAATAAAATCTCAAATACGTTGTGAAATAAAGCAACATAATTACTTTCATATACGCCTTATACTTCTGTTAAATAAAAGTTGGAACTAATCTACATTCTTCCTTTTGAATGTTTCAGGAATTTTAATTCTTCAACCGTTTAGATAACTATTTATAACGCATGCATAAGGTCCTTTATTCACTCATAATTCGGTTCCTAATGTTCTCACATATTTTTAATCACGATTCATTTGACACATTATTTTAGGACACCAAAACCTGAGACAATAATCATCGATTAATGAACCCTGTGGCTGAAAAAGAAATCGAACAAATTAGTTAAAAAGAAGTGTAAAGTTCAGTGTAACAAGGTTCCAAAATCCTATTCACTGTATCAACCCTCAGTGTCATTAAAATTTGATCACACTATTTGCCTTTCCGCTTCTTTTGTTTTCAGTAAAGTTTACCACTTCCAAATGCTTGTAGTCCACTGACCTTTAACTAATTTATGATTTCCTATCTTTGGATCCTTATTTAATAATTTCATTGTTAAGATTTTAAAACCGTGATTCGAGCATTACTGGTTAGTGGGTTTTTTCAAGTTAAAAGGCACACTTCTCATTCTTTTGCATAAGAATAATATTATTCTTCAAATAAAAAGTATGCTTTTCTATACACCTTATTCGCTTCCCTATTTCAAATGTTAGTAAAATATAGTACATAAATAAATTCGTTTTTGACCTTTCCCCTCTCAAACCAAAACCTGACACAAGCAGTTTTTCGGGTTAGCAATACGTCATCACTACACTTCTTGACCTTTCAACTCATATCACATTATCAAATGGGACCTAGCACGATGGATGGGTTATTCTTTTTAAAGGTAACAACCGTCTTCATAAGATGTAGTCTGTTATTACCTAACAATGAGGTCGAAACTAAATATTTGATTTTAAGAAAAGATGATTGCAAATAAAAACTTGTAATATAAACTTTAATAATTATGTTGGCTCATGTTAACTGCAAACAGGGGTAGAATTCCGGGATATTTATTTCCACTAACATGAAGTAAGCTAGTGTTTAAAATGAGAATTTGCCTATGTAAAGAATCGGCAAGGTATTCCAATATAAATGAAGATTATAAAACACTCTAAAATGCTCTGAAACGGTGTCATGTGCGATCGGTTCTTTGAAAAAATCGACAATGTGCTGGTAAAATTATTCAAAGGATAGCAGTGTTTATATGGTATGATGAGAGAATAATTCGGTGATGACTGAAGTAACAAAATGCATTCAAACTTATTATCAGAGGGCTATCGGTTCAGGTATCAAATTCTTAAGACCCAACACTAACTAATGTTTCACCAAGCCAAGTGATGGTACAATATGTTGAATTCAAGAAAAAGAAATGCGGAACTGGGATTCATTTCACCGTTTCGCATCATTCAAAGAAATCACTAGCCAATTCATATTTAAGGCGGAATAAACAAGCTGAGACAAAATGTCTGCACCACGTGTTTCGGTTTTCAACTCTGCACAATACTCAGTTTTACGTAAACTGTCCTTAACGTCGACAATAATATGACTCTACACTGAAATGACTGGATTCGCATCAGACACAGACTAATTTTTCCTGTTCACCACTAAGGCAGCATAAGTGAATGATGTACGAGAGAACAGAGAGGGAGAACAAATGTGAAGAATAATACTGACTCACTGCGGAACGAGCAGCGTCATGTATTGGAAGTTAATGTGATGCAACACTGATTTAAAAGGAAGCAATCGAGGAACATTTGATCTTTTGACTAGGCGTTCCATTACGCGGCAAGTCATTCACATGAGAGACACCTTCAGGTGATTTATCCATTTCCATTTTGAGTCCTCTGTGCACGATGAAATTTTTAATGCGTCTTGTGTTTATGGCCAGTCGGTGTGCAGAGCGAAATACAAGCCTGTCTACCACGTATACAACTGTCTGTTCAAGCCCTGGCGTCGACGTTGTGTAGGCGGTGTACACCAATAAATACATCAATGAATGCATCAGTGTGCTTCGAGTATTTGAGCGGTTTCCCGTTACATTTCACTTGAACATGTGTTAACAGGCCCTTCCCACATCAGTGATCACAGTCATTGCAGAATGTCTCACAAAAGGTCTGGTCATTTAGAAACATGTGAATTGGGATTTGTGTTGTGTACGCACACACACACACACCTTAGGCTCGTACTACACGTTTCAACCGTATTATCCATCGCCTTATCTCAATCGAACATTGGGCAGCTAGTTTGAAGTGATATTAGAAGAGAGGGCTTGTCTAATTCCCGGATCTCGTAATGCTGTTTGAATGGAAATCTCAGTTCGTCGATTCGGTTGTATCACTTGTTTGCAGAAGGACAGTATTTCGCGGTCACATGTGGCATTTCTCTGAGCTGTCATGTACATTTTACCTATGCAGTCCACATTCTCACTCCCAGTGACATTGGAGAGATTTAGATACACTAGCTTGTGAGTCCATAGGTCACTATTTTCAGTAAACTGAAAGTTATTGACTGGTTGAACAGATTACATATTTAGCTGCATTGCGTCATGTGTCAGTTCGGTGCGCCGATACTAACTATCTGTAGTTCATCGACATCTTCCAGCTGAATGTGTTTATTATGAATTATTTGTTACCGAAGGATAAGTGGGCAGTTGCAGGAGTTTTGAATATGTGGACTCGGAAGGGTCAATTGACATGATGTCACTTTCCATTAAGGAATGAGGAGAGTGTACTGAATATTCTACTCTTGTCATTTGATATCATAATGATTAGTTTTTTATTTAGGTTGAGATTGACGATGGAAACTCACCTTCGACTTCATACGTTGACAGGCGTGTTTCATGAGTGGGCGGATGTTGAGACACGTGATCCAGTAGAGTTGACAGGAATGATGGAACATGCATGAGTTGATGGTGAGATCTGTGGATTTGAAGTAGTGATGTTTTTGCGTTGTTTTTAATATTCCTAAATGCTTCCAATGCACTGTGTGTTAACCTGTTCCTTAAACATTTTTATAGCATAATTGCATATATTTTCTTAGTTTTTATTACGCTGCAGTGCAGTTATCACTCTGATGCTTTCTCCGATAGTTTTTTCTTCTTCAAATGGTTAAAATCTTCCACTGTTCTTCTTTATGCACACGCTGATATTCATACAGCACTCAACAGTGCTAGTAGCTTTAGGTATATCGACTAACTATTGCAAACGTATGTTGGACAATCTTCCATCAGGGTGTCTGGAGTGTAAATGATTAGTCATTTTGATTCTAAGCTTTCATGTTCATGAATTCTTAAAATTTTGTGGTCCTGCCTATCTAACCAAGTTAGTACATTGTGAAATTCTGAAGGGTACTTTGTCAGAAATAGCTGAATATCTGTCCTCAGTTATTACTGAAGTCGACGAGAAGATGAAGTCCATACGTAGGTGTAATTTGCAGTTTAGTTTAGTTTGTTTTCGAAATACGAATATCCACCAAACTCTACTCCTTCTTCAGTTACCTGAAAAATGACAGACATTCACTGGTCCAATCTCCACGTTGAATATCTGAACGGAAGTTCTAGTTCCAATTAGTCGTTATGGGAAACATATAGTTTGAAGACAATAACCGATTTTCTTAACGTAGGAAACGTTTTTTCTCATCGATAAATACTTGTTGCATTTTTTTCGCTACCTGCTGAGCTTCAGCTAATCAGACTATTCTATAGTGATTACTAAAGCTCAGAAATTGAAACAATTACATGTTGCTACCAATTCAGTAATGCAGAATTTAGTTACATGAGATTTGTAACTTTATGAGGTTGGTAGCTTTTTATCGACTAATATTCCTGGGATATGTATTTTCTGCAACTAGTCATCATCTGTATCGTCATACAATGTTACCTTCATTAAGTGTAGACTAATGAAATGCTAGATGCGGCCAGACTGAAAGATGGCATTACTCCGTGACGACTTTGACCATTGGTACGAGTCATGCGACGTCAACGTGACAGTTAGTGGCGGTTGTTATAGACTCTAAATGTTTTGTCTCAAAATCATTCTGAATGGCACAGTTGCATATGCACGTGATCTTCTTCTTATTTGTCATACAGAATTTCATTACTGTTCCAATCCTTTCTGTCCTACTTCTACGAAGTTCTACTGTTTTTTCCCTAATATCTCTATCTCATCTCGGTGTCTTCCACCATGATGTACTAACACGAGCTGTGACAATTTAGAGAATTATGTAAATTGAAGCTAAATCATTTATTCCTGCGTAAAGATCGACCATTAAAGGCGAATATAGATAGTTTTCTAATATGAACGTAGTTATAAATTGTTTTTTTTTCTTTGTGATAACATACTTGTTTAAAATCTCAAGATTCTTTATGAGTAAAAGCTCTCCTAAAATAATAGTATCAGAGTCTGAAAATAATTGTTACTCTGAGCAACTTCATGAGCTTACGTTATTATATTGTATCTTCATCGATAAGTAGGAGGCAAATATATTCACCAATATTTTATTCTGAAAATTAAGCAATTTTTCCCATTAATAAATATGATAGATAAACAAAACCATATCCTTTGATGAAATAATAATTTTAGTAGTCCGTTTTATTTTTCGTGAAAACAGGAATATATGAAAAAGAACGAATTTCAACAATCGTTTTTGGGTACATTTAGGTAAGTATGTGGTATGTTTGATCAAAAAGACAGTAAGAGAATATTCATGTACGTTGTTATATTTTTTTTCCTGCTTACCGAAGCTGTTTTTTACATTTAATTGACCGAAAAGATCCCTCTGTCAGCTGGTGTTTGATTCACACCGCCCCACCTTTCTGGATGACGTAGTCCATATCCCTTTTCAACTGACACATAACACATTGGGTACAAAGACAAGATAGCACAAAATCATTCGTCATTGAACCCTGTATGACAGGTGAAGGAAGTAAATAACATGATGACAGCTGTGTAAAAATCAATGAAAAATTTTTTTTTAATGAATAAACTATCTCAAGATGTTATTTTCATCCTTTCTTCTCTTCATCTTTTGTGATCTTCCAAGTATCCAAAATAGGTCCTGAATTATCTCATTTGAATGTGTTTGGAGTTGATTTGATAAATTCAGAAATTAAGCTAAATCAAATCTGTAGACCCTGATCAGCTAAGGAAGTTGGAAGAAAGCTCGGCTAATGCTATACCCAGCAAAGGATGGAGTGACAATACCGAGAACTTAGTTGAAAGATAAGACTAACTGTCAAACCGGATATATTTCTATTGAATCGATGGCTTACATACACATACACATGTAAGAAAAAAAAGTCAGCACCTTTTCCAGATATCTGGAAGATTCCAGGAAGAACAAAGATTAGACAAACCGTGTCTCAGAGTCATGAAGCATCTTGATTGTGAACGATGAATTGCAGTTAAAACCTCATCTATTAAAAGGTTTCGTGTCACTGTGTGATAACGAGAGGTGGCTATCGTGGTTCGGTGGTCTAGTGGATAACTCTCTGGCGTTTGAAGCGATCGGTCCTGAGTTGGAGTCCCTGTGGGAACAGGATCACTCACCGGGGTTGGAACATTCAGCTGACATGTCTCAAATAGAATGGAACACGTGTCCAGAATTCCACTTCAAGCCACTATCCATCAGCTATAAAATAGGATAGATTTTCTATCAAATTACTTAAGATTTTCAATTCAATCTAATGGTTATTGTTTGTGATCTTTCAAAAACTAAATTAATATGTTACTTCTCGACTCTTCAATAACAAGTATAGTCGTTTACAACTTCAGACTAATCAGCCAAAATCAGTGTTGTTCAAATTATATTTTACGGTTAACTGAAGGTAGATGTGATAGCTACATACAAAACCAACATGAATGAACACTGCTTTCCACAATTTACAACAGAAAAATTCAAAAGTGATCAAAAATTAAAGTTATCTACATGATACAACAGCACAAACAAAAAAACACTGAAAATCTTTATCTCTGAAACAAAGATGGCTTTTATAACGCAGTCTTTATCATGGACTAACATCAGTTAGAAAGCTGATAGCACTTAATTGGCTATTTAATTCTAGTTTGAAACTCCTCCACAGTGCACACCTATGAATAAACAAGAGAGTGAGCCATGATTAAAAAAACTACCTTGAATTCAATTGATTCGCACAAACCATGATAAATGAGATCAGTGGACTGTCTGTATTAATGTTTACTAAACGATAGAATCTAATCTGATGATTTTATATACTCTAAACAGTCAGACACGAATATAAAATGAACCTTCAGGGCATTTGTGGCATTTTAAATAGAATGCTTATTATGGAAACATTTAAATAATCACGTTTGTTCTAGTGAGGGTTAAGTAGGTTCAAACATCAACATCAGTTTATGTGTTTAACTTCTCTGTTACAATTTTCGAAGCCATTACTTTGAATAATAACGTGAGTAATACAACTTGCATTGATATTGTGTTTGTAACGCTGTAGCATTCTAAGTGAACCAGGTCCAGCTCCAAAGAACGGCAACCAACACGGTTCATTCGCATACGAATATAAGTAACATAAATATCCGCATGGAAGAAACAGCGAGAGAAGACCTAAGTAGAAGGAAATATTTGATAAACACAAATGAATATTTTGAAACTTTAGGATGTGTTGCATTTCTAACCTGTCACTAGACAAAGAAATGAGCAAGTTATCCACAGACTCTTAAATCAAATCCTGAAATGATTAAATTCTCTGTCAACTTTAGTTATTACCCTCGTGAGTGAAAACCAGTTTTTCGAAAATAACTGCCTCTGATTTTCACAGAGATACTGAGAACAAGCTTTAAATATAGTGTAAAGTATTATGACTGCAGTTAATTGACCTAAATAGTGATCACCAGGAAACTAGAGGATGGACCGGAGCCCTTCTTCGCTCTGAAGACAGTTGGCTTACTAAAGCGGTCACGACCGCGTACTATTGTCAAACGTCGATGTAAAACAGTTCGATAGACTAATCTATCAGTACTACCTTCTGTAATCTGAAGAAAATATTCACACAGGGCTCACATCCAAACTAGGATATTTAAATTCCTAAAATTAGCTAGGCCACTTAACCTCCTCATATAGCGACTGATTTGCAACAAATTAGGTCAGTTTTTCTAAGTCTTGATTTTCACTCACTATATGTGACAAAATAACCTAGCCCAATTCACTACTTCACTAACCACTAACCGGTCCTAAGCCCGGACAAAAAGGGAAAGTTGGGTATAGGGCTAACAACCCTAACCCAGAAAACTAACCTAACCACTAAAAAAAACTTCAAACCACAAAGAAAATGTAAAATTAAAATTACTCCTCGCTGGAATCAGAGACGCAAAATGACGCCAGTTGGTGAAAGCCTTCGCGAAGCCAATTAACCAACGTGTATTCGCCTCTCTCGATGAAAGCAAAAGTAAGCATGAGGACATGGAATAGCCGCACAATGTTTGAGGCTAACTGGCAAGGCTGCTCAGATTGCAAACGAGGTGAGAAGGTATGGCATAGAAGTGCTAGGCTAAAAATCTGCGAAAGCAGATGGAATGCAAGTTGACTGTCTAAACTGTCAAATGGAGAGTCAATAATCTACTCCGATATTCTTACCCAAATGGCAACCACGAGCACACTGAGTTATTGAGTAGCTATCATGATGTCCCCCTTGAAGAGCATCGAAAACTCTCTCTCATACACTGGGAACCAATCTCCTCGTGTAGGATCATGAATGCAAGATTCAACTCAAAACGAAGCAGTCACAATCATACAATGCTACGCTACACAACGCACCTACAAATAATTCAGATGAAGAGAAGAAGGAAGAATTCTACAGACAACTGAAATCACTACTGGACAAGACTCCACCCCAGTTGACGATGGTGACATCAAAATTCTAATGGGTGACATGAATGTCAAACTAGGAGTAAACAACACGGAAGAGAACCAATCATGGGTCGACAAGCACTCAGTGAAATGAAGAGTGAGAATGGAGAACTGTTTGCAGAATTCTGTGCATTCAACGATTTGGTGATTGGAGGTGGGGCAGTGTGTACAAATACAAGGATATTTACAAGGCAGTGACATGGATTTGATTTCACCAGACACCAGAACACACTACACTCAAAATCAGATCGACTTCATTTCAATGTGAAGAAAGTGGAGACGCAGACTACTAGACACAAGATCAGATCAAGAAGAAGAGCAGATGTAGGTTCACACTACGAACTGTCTTGTGCAAGGAACCTGCCTTCAAAAACAAGTTGAAAGCCTTCACAGAAGTTGGTGATAGACACTCACAGTTCAGGTTCAACAACCACCCAGAACACAGACTGGAATGAAGGACGAAACTACAAAGGACATCTTTACGTCAGTCAGCCATCAGGGGAAAATGGGAGACATTGAGCAACACCTCTCACTAAATCTGTGTGAAATAACACTGGAACTCTTTGAAAGAGATATGGAAATAAACCTGCATAACCGTATTAGGAAGGAAGACAAAGAGACAAGACAAGGAATAAATCTCGACGGATCTCCACATAGAAGCTGATAGAGGAGGGAGAGGGAGAGGAAGATTGTGAAGCAGAAGATGAACCAGTGCAGAGAAGTGCAGTGCAGGGATGAAGAACGAAAAGAGGAACTGAACAAACCTATAAAAGACTACACTGGACAAATAAGTGAAGAAGAGTGCACGAAAAAACAAAAGACACTTCTACGACACATTGGCAGGTGAACCATAAGAGGTTGCAGGTAGGATAGACAGAGACCTGACAACACTATATCAAATTACCAAAATACTATCTAAGAAAGCAGCAGGACTAGATGGAATTCCGCCCGAAGCACTGAAAACAGATGTAGAGACAAAAGCCGACGTGCTCACACTACTACTGCAGAAGGTTTGGAAGGAAAAATACCTGTGGATTGGTTAGAAAAAGGGCTATCTTGTCAAACTTCCAAAGAAAGGAGACACAAGTCTCTGCAAGAACTGGCGCAGAATCATAAACCTTTCCTTATCCATCCCAAGCGAAATATAAGGCCCTATCATACTGGCGAGAATAAAAGATGTGCTGGATTCAAAATTAGGACCGGAACAGGTTGGAAGTAGAAATCATGTGTGGACCAAATTGCAAGGCTACATAACGCATCATCAGAGAATACAGCATAGAATGGAAGTCATCTCTCTACCTTAACTTCATCGATTTTGAAAAGGCCTCCGACAGCGTTGACCGAAGAGTAATTTGGCAGCTGCTTCAACATTACGGTTTTAGTGCCACAAACATTAATCAACCTAATTCAACAACGGCTGGATGCCATATAATGGTACATGGCAAGTGATTCAAAATGGAAAGCCAGGGATGCCATTAAAGTGAAGACAGGAGTAAGATAAGGCTGCCGCCTACTATCACCCATGATCTTCCTGGTTGTGGTGCACTGGATCATGCAGTAAAGAGTGACGAGCGAGAGAGGGGATGTGTGATGGCTGGACCAATAAGAAGACTCTAGAAGATTTTGATTTCTCCGATGATGATTTATGTCTAATGTCTTGTCACACAAACTCGAAGATCTACAGGCAAAAACCAACAAGTTGACAGAAGAGGCAGGGTAACGGGGACGGAACTTCCTTCAGGTGAACGTAGAGAAGACAGAGGTGATGAAGATACCAAACCAACAACAGCATCAACAACAAGAGGCACACATCATCACTAACGGGAGAAATCTAAAGGATGTTGTCTCTTCCACCTACCACCTAGGCACCATCGTCTCAACTACAGGTGGCACAGGTGAAGACGTCAAAGCCAAGATCGGAAAGACAGCAAGACAGGCCTTCATTAATCTGAAGCCAGTGTGGAGGTCTACTGCACTCAGCATAAAAAGTGAACATGAGCCGGATTTCCAACACTAATGTCAGTCAAGTCAATGCTTCTATGTGATGGTTGAGAGTCTTGGTGCGTTACGAAAAGCATTTCCAACAAGTAACAGACATTCATCAACAACTGCCGTCTACGCTCATTCAGCACTGAGTATCAGATGGCCAGAATAATAAGAATAAGCAACAAGGAACTGTGGCTGAGCAACGAACCAACTAAGAATCCATCGCCCAACAAATATGCAGAAGAAAGTGTAGATGGATTGTACTGGGCATACTTTGAGTAGGAAGATGGTTAGGGGACATCACGCGCCAGGCCATGCCAAGTCCTCGAGTGGAACCTTAGTGGGAAACGACGAGTTGGGCATCCGAGGGTGATATGGAGGAGATCGTGTGAGGAAGAAATGAAAGCTTGTGGGTAGTCGTGGAGCGAGGTTGAGCCAGACTGGAGAGAAGAGAGTGCAATGGAGACGTGCTACTGAAGCTCTATATTCCACTAGGAGCCCAAGGGATAAATAATAATAGTAATAATATGTGTCAAAATCAATAATTTGTGAAACATTGGTGAAATCCAATCAATAACAATGATAAGATTCAGAAATCTACAGACTCATCAACTGATTTACTTTTCCTAGAAAATTTTGATGACGAATTACAGTACATCATACTTCACTTAAAGCATTTCATATATATGTGTATTTTAAAAAATTTAAACTTACAACTGGTCATGTCATTTGTACACTCAAACAACCCTGATTCCCATTCTCTCGTTTCCACTGGTTGCTAAATTAATGTATGTAGATAGTAGAAAACAACCTGTAAGTGATATGAATACAAATTACATGTTATTCAGTAAATATGCGAGGAAATGTGAATCATTCCAAGGCTGCATATCTGCTTTGCTGGTGAATCCCAATAAATTAAAATCAAGATTATTGGTTGCATATCAATCGATCTACCCTCAACTTCCAACACCAAAACAATTTACTATTCCAAATGTTATGCACGAAAAATTCGAAACTCCGGTTCTGTCTGACTCTCCTTTAAAGAGCAACCAAATTTAGCCGCTTCAAAAAATACGCAGGGTTGCTGGTCTCATTGCTAAAGTTTCTCTTTACAGAAGATATGTCGATTACATCATAGTGATTTTTCAAAGAGACTTAACACCGTACAACCACATGTTAGTCTGACTTGGGATGAAGGGAATAATAATCAACTGCTATTCCTAAATGTACTCCTGAGTCAATGAGATGATTCAATAGGACGGTCAGTTTGCAGAAAGTCTACACGCACAGGACAATATCTGGATTTTCATGGCTTTCGTTCGATCCAACACAAACGAGGTCTACTAAAGTTCTTCGTTAGTAGGATCTATCAAATATGTACATAGATATGATGAAGATATCGAATTACTGACCAAAACATTCATGAAAACCCGATATCCAGCGGAGTTCTTTAACCACTGAAGAAGTTAGGTAGCACCAGAACCAACTCCATACACGGTACCTAAGAAAAGTGTCCATATTACCCTACTATAAAGAGTGTAGTTGAATAGCATGAATTTACGACGTAGGCTAGCATCAGTAATTAGGAAAACATATCATGCAACTAAGCCTATTATTGTGGGAAAAACAGAACACGGGCTTCGCCACAAACCTAAACATTCAATGAATGATTGCGTTACATCTGATTGTCTTTACCAGTTTATATATTTGTGTAGCCACACATACATAGGGAGAAGTAATAGAGCCATGCAGATGAGGGTGGGAGAACATAACCTAAATGGCTGTAACAACAAGATGAGTGTGAAACGTTAATAAGTGCAGGTGGAAGACGACACTCCTCATCTTCTGCTAAACATACTATGGCACCTAGAAACCTAGAAACCCTTTTCGTAGTAGTATTTCCTAGTTTTCCCATTTTGGCCACCTCGGTACGTTGACAAGGTTTTTGTTGTCACATCGAACATTCATTGCCTTGTTTTGCTTTCAGTCCAACATCAATACCCTATTGTTTTTACTTCTATTGTTAGTCTCGCCTTCAATTAAGTCTTTTCATACGAAGTTTTTCGTTTTACTAACCAACGGAACGTTTTTACTCTACAAATAAATATCTAGGAAAAGTATATATTTGATGAGACGGTTTAAAATGTGTTTCTCAAGTACATTACACGTTTCAGAGAAATTCCATGATCTTTTTGTTATGTTGAAACTCATGAACGGAACGGATTGTTCCAATTGAAGAATGAAGTTATTATGTAGTTCCTGAGTTCAGTTACTACAGTCTGTGCTGGTTGGGACATTTGCACGAGTCGGTCACCATTGCGTGACTGGTATAGCTGTCTAATCCTTAGTTACGAATATCGATCAACGTTTACAACGTGGAGACTGGGTCAAGTGATGTAACACTGTAGTGCTATATATTTAGGCATTAGATGTTAGGATAGCCACACCAGTTTCCCTCTAGCAACCCATTCACCTATACAACTCATTATTAAGAGCAGTCATTCAAGGCCTGATTAGCTTATTGGCTACGTCTCTGACATCAAAACTGAGTGATGCATGCTCGTAAAATCAAGAGAATACCAGTTTCTTCATAGCTGCAGATACACCTTACTGTTCGGAGCCCCAAGGGAGGAAACTGAGGTCTAGGGCTTCCTGCTGATTGACCACCAACACCGAAGACCTGATAATTCGCTTGTCTGAATTTATGTTTAGAGCGATTCGTGAATTTGTGCGTACGCACTTTACAATTTCACTTTTCTGAGATATCTAAAGTATTATACAGCTTCGATATATCAGACGACAATCTCCATAGACTCTAATTCTTTCTTCATCTGCAGATAGTTACATTACAACAATTCATTTTAAAAATCCATTCGCAAAATTCACACTTTATTTATAGCATGTTGTTTAAAAGTGCAAATTAACCACCATTTCGAGGAGATATGATCTTTTTTATTTGTGGGTGCATCGGCTGAATGTCTATCCTTGTCATAAATTTTGGATACCAGTGAAGGTGTTCTTTCAGTAGAGTTTCATCAAATAGATTAGCCAGCAGAAATACCTGAATGCCAAGTAACCACAGGGTATCACTCTGCGAAACAAAAAGACATTAACTCAAACGAAAATGAGCTGTTATTCAGCTACTTCCACTCTTCTACGGATATCTTCTCTACCAATTATGGCCGGCTTATAATAGTAAGTAAAACAGGTTAACGAAATAGTCATAGGTTTTTACACCATATGTACAAAAAAAATTATTTATTAGGATGCATTTTGGATTCTTAGTGTACGCGAATTAAGGGATTCTTCACTTTATCAATGTCGATGTTGAACTTCAACCAATAACTTCTTGCTGAAGCATCTTCTTATCCCTTTTTGTAGATCATGGATAGCTTAGCTCTACATTCTTCTTATATTTAGGACCACTATACCAGAGGTAGATCATCCCTTACAGTTTCATTCTATCCACTCCTTATTTCTTGCCAGCAATTACTTGAAGTACAGAGACAATACTACTTAACTTTGAGTCCAGAGAAACAATTCATGTTTGAACACCAGTAGGTCTTATTAAAACCGAATTATCCGTAAAGAATTTAGCGTGAATCGACCTAAAGACCCTAATTACTTTGAGAATGGGGAAAATCTCACGGGATTTGTAAAATGAGTCATTATATGTCATCTTCGATACAGAAAATATTCTGGTGAGCACCATTTGTGACTGATTTCGGTGTCCAAGTTCTACGAAGACATTTATTTTTCTCTGATGATAGCAAACGTTCACTTACATCTTCTAAACGGTAACAGCTTTGAACACTTATTTGTTAAATGCTTAGCAAAGAAACACATCTGTTCTTTTTAAGAGTTTTTCCAATAAACTATTGCGATAATAGATGTCATGCTCTGCAGAATTCATGTCTATAAACATGATAGGATTCAATGAACACTGCTTCCAATTTCCGAATCTGACTATTCATAAGTAATCACGTTAAGCACTAAACATCATCAGTCTGATCATCACAGATGAAAATCATCATTTCAGCATCACACTGACAGTGAACATAGAAAAGAGAGATGAATTTGAAACCGAACTGGTTATTTAAAACACATTCAATCAATAGGAAAAAATATTTTCAGAGTTCTGAACCCAACACAAGCATTAACCAAGTTCAACAAGAAGTTTGAATAATTCAGAAAACAGGATTCTACTATGATCCGAAAAGATTCTTTTTTGCTTCTGAGAAATTTCTTACCATGTGCAGCCGCCATACCATCAACCTGCTGGTAATTTAGGGCTTTCTTCGACAAAACACGCCAACAGCTTATATAGCAATATGGATGGTAAGATTAGCTTACAGCTATTTGATATACGAATGTTTCATTTCACAGTTGTAAAAACATTGCTATTCATATCCAAATATGACGATTCCCTGGATATTCAATAAGGTGAGACTTCTTGAAACGAGTGCGACTAAATAACTTAATCGAGAATACTTAGTTGACAACACCAAAGAAAATGGAGTGTTACTTAGGTAAACGACACCACTAGTCACTAGACAAAAGTTTAGGAAAATAAGATGCAGCTCTCTGCAAACTATTGACGGGAATCAATCATAGGTTGATGACCTGACGGTACTGGACAGCTTGAGCTCCAATGGTTCTCCAGTCGACCTCAGTCTGTGATGAATACCACCCTACAAACAACTTATCCCCACAAACTACCAAGTGAATTAAATTGCCACTAGTTGGAAATGGACATCTATGATTCCTTGATAAAAATGATGTTCAAACACATCAAAGTCAATCATTTCCAATAGCACTACAGAAAAGGTCATAACTTTACTAGTTGACTGCGAATATCATCCCGTTGAAAACAACAGACATTCATTACCGTCAGCTTCCATCGGTCAGCATTTTCACTTATTTACATGCATGCAGAACGCGATCATAATAATAAGGAACCATGATAATAACGATGAGCTGATTTGGTTTCACATACTGGGCATGTAAAAGACTTTCACTGTTAAATCATTCAATATATTAAACGGTCATACTATGGTCCAACAATCTTTCTAAAGTCATTGATGGAGGTTAAAAGGTTCAGTTTAGTGAAAAAGCCAGAATCCAGCTTTTTGATTATGAATCCTTTCTTAAATATGTTGTTTGACAGGACATTATTTGAACTCATAAACTGAATTTAAGCCCCTACTCATAACAAGAATACTTGAATGTTTATGAAGCAATCAAAAAATACGTAAATGAGTTATATAAAAGGGGTCACTTTACCTTACTTTGCTCATCTGCAGATGTAAAGGTTGACTTTAGAAATCGGTCAAACAAGTAGACACGACTCAACATCAAAACATATAAAATCAACCTAATTCTTTCATTGACCATCAGGTACTGACGGATTTCATTTTCTCGTGGCAAGCGTTGGACAGTAAACAAATATACATTCTTTTCCACTAAATTCACAATCAGAACTTTCTTTCTTTTTAGAAGATCGTTGTTGTATATGTGAAATAAGTATGTTACATCCTCAGGTTTCCGTTCAACGGACCATGAAATTTGCTAGCACCTTTATTTAACAGAACTATATAATCTGTGTAATTCAGTTCGGACAGAAATCTCAAGCGTAAAAAACCAATCCTTACGAGGTCGGAGGTAAATATTTTCACACCAACTAATGTGTTTATAGTTTAGACAAGAAACACTTTTGGTGAATGC